ACTTATCATTTGACATAAATGACATTTAGTTCAGTTAACTCCTGGCGGTGCGTCGACAAGGAACATTCATACTGTTACTAAATTGAGTACCCGTGCATGTGCCAATGCGGTTAGCCATCATCCTGTGATTCGTGATCTAAGGCGCAGATGAATATTGCGCGCCGCCGATCTCGAGAAACTTTCAACTCACAGAATCAGTCTGACGCTGCAGACGATCGAAGCCAGTAACGAGGATGACCAGAAATGCAGCAATCCATGCCGCAGCCACAGACAAGGCGCGTACCACTCCCACCACCACAACCCAGAATAATCGTAGTTATTCCTTCGTGACGAAACTAATTACTCTCAGAACCTGGAAAGAAATGCATCAGCTTGCATGACACTACTGCAATGAAACCAGACCACTGAAACGAAATTTGTCCTGGATACCGACACACGAGAAACCACGACCCATTACTTCGAACAGCTAAACAATGGCATGAATTCTACTTAAAACAGGCATAACTCCTCCATTGTTCAACCAAGGAACTTGTGGCGTACAAACATATTAGAAGTCGTATATTACAAATCCGGAAATGCATATAAGCATTGAAATCCGGAAAGGAAGTTCAACTCAGAGGCAAAAATCTACAACTTCCTGGAAGGCAGCATATACTGAATCTATTTTACACTTGTTTTGCCCATGCTGCAGAAGCCTGTCCGTCTCACATAATTACAAAAAGTAATCCGGAACGGGTTTTCGCGCGGGAAAATTGCGATTATTCTATAAACAAAATATGACAATTAATATGAAAGTGATTCAGTTGTAATCAGCTCAAATTCGAAGTTATCCTCAAAGAGTTACACACACCTGAGGGGCAGCTTCGAAAATAGCGAAGTCCCTGTTCAGGTACTCATCAAGACGGAGAATAGCAGCTACGTTACCACAACGATAACAGTAGTTTGGCGCCGACCATACTGTAAGCACAGTTTCGTTGAAGTGATAACGCCGTCCTTCCATCACAAGTTGATGAGCACGACAAATCAGATCGAGTTTATTTACCTTCAAAAATTCACACAATGCAATACGGAACCGACAAGGTACTGACGATGGACAGAAGCTAAACTCACTCAAGAAAAGAGATTTACGGGCGCAAAAAACATTTAGAACTAATTTACGTGTTGTTAGCACTATGACGCATGCGCAACCTCACATGGTTGAACTGCTGAACAGTATCAGCTCCGAAGAGAAACCCAGCTCCTCGAGGGCTTACATTCCATCCAGCAGAGTCCTCGGGGTCAGACCAAAGAAGATCGCACATGGGGCCCTCGTGTGGCACCTCCTGCTTGCGATCGATGGCTCGAATTTGATCAAGTCGTTCAATATGTGGTGAAAGACCTCCGTGTACGCAAAATATCTGTAGCAATTAGCAGTTCCATGAAAAGGCTTATTCAGGCAGAATTTGCCCAAACCACTCGGTTTACTGACGCACCATTAAATGAACAAACAAGGAAAGGCCTACCCGATCATCAATAATTGCTGATAAACAAAGATAATCAAATATCTCCGTGCACTGACGCCAAACGAGGGGCGAGCCATATTTTCGTAAGCATTCCTCGTAAAATCCATATGCAGTGGTTATCTGACGGCTCTCGTGGTTGCCTCTGATGAGAGTAATACGATCTGGATACCTAACCTATGGTGTCGACATAAGCAATCATGCACGGACAACCTTCAATGCGAGTAAGAGCAAAAACGTTTCCACACTATAATATCCACGGTCAACAAAATCCCCCAAGAACAGGTAATTTGTATCTGGAACTTCGCCGCCAACTTTAAAAAGTTCAATTAAATCAAAAAATTGACCGTGGATATCCCCACACACCTAGGAATGTGCAAGAATTACCACCTGACTCACTGTGACGGGCGAATCAACGTATTGCACATTACTCTCTTCAATCAAAATTTCACGCGCTTTTGCACAAAGCGCTTTAACTTCGCTTTCCGATATTAATTTACATTCCCTAAGTAATGCAATTTGACGATCCAAATCGCTCATTGATGCCATCCACCCCCGCACCCTTAGTAGGGCTATTTGTAGTCCTAGGACAGAACCGAACCAAACAAATTTACAGAAATTACATATACTCGCATAATTTCCATTAACCTACAGAAAAATTAGGTATTGAAACTTCAAATAGCTGTAGTTAAAGGCCTAAGTTGCTTTGAAATTTTACGCGCAAACGAATAAGAAATTAGGACACGCAAAGATGGAATGATTTAGATTGCTGTCAGATAATAGGACGATGAGATCTACCGCGTATGTGGCTATTTGCTAGTAACATCTGTAGTGTCCCGAGACTTGACATAGTGTGGAAGAAGGCAGTGAATGAGGCTGAATACATGTATTCCGAAGGGAACAGGGCAAAGGGGCCGGAGCACGGCCCGAAGACCGCCCCACGATTACAGGAGCCAGACCGTAATGCTTTGTTTATGTGACTACCTGATGTTTGGCGGTCACTTTAGGATTTGTTCAGCCCTTGAACACGTGGGCTGGCCTTCGTATTATGTCCAGGTCCATTTGTATTGTCATCTTCAGAATACACTTATCCAACTGCGCCTAGTGATTCTTATACCGGCTAGGATGCCTCGGAACGCTACACAGGCAAATCCTAAGGTGACCGCCGAAAGTCAGGTTGTCACATAAACAAAACATTACACATAGTAACCGCCAAACATAGACGTGATCGCATGAACAGGTACTACCCTGCAATTCTTGCATTTTAAGCGATATCATCAATGTTCTCTGTGATGCTTTGTTTATGTGACTACCTGAAATTTGGCGATCACTTTAGGATTTGCCCAGCCCTTGTACTCGTGAGCTGGCCTTCGAGAAACGCTCAGGCTCCATTTATCTTTTCGTCTTCGCATTATATGTATTCAACCTCACTTATGCCTTCTTCCACCCTATGGGAAGCCTCGCTACGCTACACTGGTGGCAGCGGAAGGCGAACCCGGCATTTTTGAGCGACTTTTAGGTATAAAGTGCTTTTGGAGACCTTCCGCTGCAGCCAAGGTGGGTCTCTCTCTGCGGCTTGTTTTTGCTGGTTATTTGTTAAAAGCGACATAGTGTCCGGGACAACCTATTACCCAACAGACACCGCTGTCTTATTGACATCCTACGTTTGCGTTGCTAAACTTTGCCAATTAATCGACTATTTTCCAAAAAAAAGACAGTACGAACAAGCTAACGAGCAAGGGTTCGATCCAACGAAACACTGATTCAATACATGCAAATACCCCAAAATCGAGTACTCATGGCCGGGAATTCGAAACCTCTCTTTCCACGACAAGAAGTTTATAATCCAACCAGCAGACAATACTGCAAAGGAATTCTATATTTTGGTGAGGAAATCCACGATTAATGAGCGCATTTTGGCGTTGTGCACCGGCGATCATGAGCTGTGCATGTGTGGAAGGGAGTTTGGCTATCGAAGTGCAGTAGATGAAGACACAAGCGAAAAGGAACGTGAATTGAAGGAGGCGCATTCACCTTGGTGGCGGACGAATCCCCGGATCCTTCACAGCGAAAAGATTTAGACGAACGTCTGCATTTGGTTGCACCTTATTCTCGTGTTCCACAGACAAGCTATTAACAACTGAAGCGACACCGCCGTGAATGATCTGAAAAATTTCATGTCGGAATTTCCCATACAAAATCCGTGGTTAGGTGTTGGAAATGCACTACGGTCCTCCTTACATACGGGACAGTGGCTCATCTCGTTTCCTCTGTAACGTATATGTTTTAGACTAAAGTTCCACCGTCTATTTCTGGAAGGAGTTGATGCTCAACGGGTGCATGCGGCCCGAATCGGGTTGCCAGATTGCTGCCGAGGAGACCAAGTACTCTTCCTCATTCTGACGCTCTCTGTTGACTGGTGCGGCTGGCTCGTTGATGCCTTCATGTAGTACCGATGGCTGGTGCGGGAGGTGTACCAAGGGGAGCGCTGAGGACGCCGCTCAAAAGAAGGGAGAGGCAGTGTAATACTTTGTTCATGCAACCACATGATGTTAGGCGGTCACTTTTGAATGTGTCTGGCCTCTGTACGCATGGGCTAGCTTTCGGGCCACGCTCAGGCTCCATTTACTCTGTCGTCTTATGAATAGATGTATTAGACCTGACTTATGCCTTCTTTCACCTCATGGGAAGTCTTGAAACTCTACACGTCCTTTGGTACAGCAAATGGACTTGAAGATGTAATGCTCTGTTTGTATGACCACCTGCCGTTCGGCGGTCACTAGGGTTTGTCTGGCCCTCGTACTCGTGGGCTGGTTTTCGGGCCGTGCTTAGGTCCATTTACTCTGGTCTCTTTGGAATATACTTTTTGGCCTCACTTTCTGCCTTCTTTCACTCTATGGGAAGTCTAAAGACGATATAGGAGCAACAAGAATTTTATCAAATTCACTTAAATTCATCGATCGGAGGATTTGGAGCGACACTTGTGGCATTGAGTTCTTGAGACTAATTTATGTTGGAAAGTCTTCTTTTTCTCTTTGAAATTGATGAAGGGGCCTTCGTTTTTTAAACGATATGGTTATATGCAATTTTAAAATTTCTTAAAATGAAAAATAATGACTTAAGAAGTTCGAATTTCTGAGCAAGTAATTAAAATTCTTAAATAAGTTTACACACAATAGGGTGCCTGTACTTTTTAAGGTGCAAATTTTTGATCATGTTTCTTGAATTATTTTAAAGTTTACATAGGATTGGGTAATATTTTCGATGCCTAACGAAGCGCTTAGTATGTGTTATGTCTGCTGTTATATTGGTACATGGCATTGAAGACGTTGCATCAGAACTTGAATTGACACAAACGGTTGGTAACTCTTAGTCATATGTTCGTTTTGCGTTGGCCTGCAAATTTAAAAACAATTTTAAGAAGGCAGTTGGCATTAATTTTAAGATCTACTGCTTTTATCTAATAGTGCTTTCATCTTATGTGCAGATGAATTTTCCGTATGAGAAGCCCCATTGCCCTTCGGTGCCACTTCAGCAATACTTTCTAACGACTCAGATCCCTGGTCAACATTTCATCTGCAACCATTCGAACTGGTATCTCCAACCAACATTTTATCCCATGCCTACAACGGAATGTTACTTTCCCCTTTTATTTCATGACGTTGGAATGAGTAACACGACCTCACCAATGTTCTCGCCTCTTCAAACAAAAGGATCGGAACAGAACATGCCCTTTTTTAAGACCTCGAACTTCGAACAACCTTGCTCAAATAACCTAAACCACAAAAAAAATGGTGAAATAATCCATTCAGTAGTACCAGGACCTGGAGAGGCGACTGTGCTGCCAATGCTGGGTTCTGAGACGCAGTCCTCTTATGCATCTCAATTTGGTGCTGCATCGTCGTCCTCAGCATCATTTCCTCGAGTTCTTGGCGCTGGTGTTAAGTCTTCATTTACTCCTCATGGCGAGGGTAACGTGAAATCCCTAGAATGCCGTACATCCTCCATGGAAGCATTAAAGGTTACATTTGCTAATGACCTACCAAACAATGAACTCGCTCTGATGAGTGAAGCAAAGGTATCACACAAACCGACAAAATATCCAGGCTCAGTGAGGCCACTTAGTGGGAGCTCTGATGAACAAAAACGTGTTGATGATATCACTGAGCGTCTAAGTCAGCGTCTTCATTTGGAGGGTCCTGAACCATCTACGTCTTCCCTCCAGTTACCATTGGAAGTTATTGCTAGCAGCTCTCTGTGAGTGATGCATTTATTGCTCCATTAATTAATATGCCCCTTTGACTTTTTATCGGCAGCGTCATGCTTGTAGAGGATATAGAAGTATCACATTGTGCGCTTACATCTATCTTTTAATACTTTTGATTATCGAAGCCTATTTTTCATTCATCTTTGAAGTTTCAGTTGATTGCGTATTTTTACTGGACGTGGCTTGTAAACATTCCTTTCTCAGGAAATTTAGGTCGAAACGCGGCAAGAGCCATCACAAGGCCAAGTTTGAATCATCGCAAAGTCTCTCTCACGACAAAGTTAGTAGCACTCCCACGATATCAACGCACCAAGAAACAGTCGAATTGAAATCTCGGCCCTCGGGGTAATTCATTGTGCCATTAACGAAGCTTATTTCCATCGATATCATTTTGTTCCGGTTGGTTTTCTCGTCTCTATTTGCTCTGAAGAATTTTGTCGCCAGCAAGCCGATTCTCCTTTTTTGACCGCCGAATCCCATGTTTCGCTGTGCCAATTTTCGCAAGAAAATCCCGAACATTGTCCTTTTTTGCACTTAAAGGCACCTGCTTATTTTGGCAGAACGGGTACGCTGACTTCGTGGGCTGCCGTAGCAGCTGAAGCACCGAACTTCAGAAAGTCAGAATTGCGAGTGCTGAAACGCACCGAGCCACTTCCGCCCGCTGCTGCTCCAACTCCTAGCACCGCCTTACCTTCACGAATAAAAAGGAGGGCGCTTCGAACGCAACGTGATCCACGGCGTGGTGGTCATCTTACTGACTTCATGAAGGAACGAATGCTTTTACGCTACCGCAGCCTCCTGGCTCAAAGCACGGAGCCTAGGCGACGTGGCAAGGAGCGCTTGACCCCTAAGAAGAAGCCCCACTCCCATCTTAAAGCCGGTATCCTTCGAGATCGCCTCGTTAGGAGCATGTTGAGACAACTAACACATTCGTGCGAAGAACATTCCACTCCTGCCGAGGCCACACGCAATGTTGTGGTTGGTTCATTTTCACCTGGTTTGTTGTCCTTAACTGTTCCGTCAAAGTTAAAACGTTTTTTGTTGTTAAGTCCAAACTTCACATTGTTTATGTGTTCTCCAGTAACCTCACTTCATATTACTCCTAAACGAACACCAGAATAATTACTCCAACTTATGGGGTTCACTTTTACTCCTATTTAACCATCTATCATTCGCCTTTCTCATCCATGTGGCAGTATCGACCGAAAATATATTATTAAAATTGTTTTGCTCAGTCCGTCCTCTAGTAAGAAGCATGTTCCTGATGTTGCTAAACGTAATCGACTTGAAAAGTGTTGCACTGCTATTTTCAAAATGCTAACCATGAAATGCAGTATGTAGTGTTTGAAAACTCCGATCACGTTTTGTCAAACTTTTCCTATTTATGATCTACAATATTTCCGGCTGTAATGGGACTATTATTATTGGCTCTGGAGGCGATGCTATCAATAATCTTTTTAAGCCCCGTTTCGCTGCATCATTGCATGCGCCATTGTGTAAGCATTGCATTAGCCATAACCAATAGTTTTGAAAGCACCAGAGCGATCTTATGGAAGTAGTGAAAGTTTTCATTTGTCCAAACCTTACTCTTAGGCTTGAGGCAAGCGCTTTTCCCGTCAGTATTCCACGCTGATCATCAGAGTTGCTCCTGCTATCCATCAAAATTAGCTGCAATTACGAAGGATTGACTTTAAATAGACCTTTCCTTTTATAGAAGATCGTTTTGCCAGTTATCCCGGACTTGGAGGCACCTATAGAGGAGATGGTAAAAAAGCTAGCGGAATTCCATGATCGAGCCTACAAACAAAGAGCTGGCGCACCTGCAAAGCGAAAGAACGCTCGTCGCATTGTCTGTGGCTTTCATGAAGTTGTAAAAGGCCTCAAGCTGAACAAACTCAAATTTCTCATTATCGCCAACGATCTTGAAAAAGGCGCCTATGAAATAGGTGAATTAGTTCAAGTTGTCCTTTTTCTTTCTAAATGCATCTTAATGATTTCGAAAACTAGTAACTATCACATGCAATCATAATTGAATTTGAGTTTAATGCATAATGCATTGTGTCGGATACAGTAATGGGATTCTTCTTTAGAGGAGGAGTCCGCAAATCAATCGGAGGAAGCAGCCAATCTGCCGAAAAAGTCGAATGCTTTGGCCAAAACACTCAAACAAGCTGTTGACATGGCCCGTGAACGAGGATGCCCAGTGATGCTGGCCTTCAAACGACGTTATCTGCAGAGGCTATGCCATAAAGGTGCTGCAGTGAGCTGCGTGGGTGTGATAAACGTTGCTGGCGCCGAGGACATGGCAAAGGCGATCATCGAAAAGTACCGCGAAGCGGTTGATGCATCTGGCCAGCAACACCTCACTGTGCCTTGACAATACTATTTCCTATGGCGTAAAATAGTTACCTTTGGCATAACGTTGGGTTGGCAATCATTTGTAGCTTGGGCCTTCAACTCCTCGGGTCCTCTATTGGTTGCACTAGTTAGGATTAGAAGAAACTAGTTATCAGAACTCCGGTTAAAATGCATGCGGGTGAACCTAGTGTTTGATCTTCCGATTGGACCACCTGGAGTGGGTCGTCTGACTCAGATTGGGATTGCGGGCAGGTCACTGGAGGGCAGTTCCACTCGGCTGAGAGGAGGTCACGGTGGCGGCTCAGTGTTGATGGAAATCGTCCGAGGACTGAGGGTGCTGGGGAGGGTTGTCGTCCGTGGGTGGGTGTCTTCGGCGGCATAGTCGCACCTCTTGCTCCCTTATGCGGGAAGGACGAGGTTATGAGATTGTGGCGTTAGAACTAGCTTTTGTTAGAATTTTAGAATTTTAGCTTTTAGAATTTAGCTTTCGGTTTGATGTTTGGCTTTCATTGTTGGATGTAAAAGCAAGGCAGATTCGGCTCGTAATTTTGAAAATAATTAGTTTACATAGGACCTAACGTATATTCTATTAAAGGTAAAAGCGTAAGCAGCAAAAGATTTAAAAACTTTAAAATCTGTTTACTATAATTAGAGTCTAGCTGCTTTGTTAATGCTTCCAGTCTGTCCTTAATGTGCTAAAAATTAAATAAATCACTTTTGTTTACGTGCTCTATTTTCAATCAATGATGGAAGCGCCTAAATCGTTTAGGTCGATTTTTGTTCGATGACGCTGGTTCCTAGCATTTTGGGAATACGGAGGTGAGCTACTTCATGATGCTGATGTTCCATGGCTATCTAAAGCCACAATTTCTGGGTTTGAACCATTGTTATACGTCTATTTTTTCTGAGTAAGCATTTCGTTCGAAATTTTGGATAGTGGCTACTTCATTGAGTGGATCACTTGGTTTACTCTGACACCATTTTGCTTTGTGTGACGCTTGTCATACATCAGTTCTTTGATTAATGCGATTTTATGCTTGGAGTATGGTGAGAAGTGGGGTGTTGATTTTCTATGTTTTATTTCTTATTTTTATTGCATAATTGCGGCTAATTTTTGGGTGCTATTCTTCTTGACGATTCTTCTGACGACACAGATGTTGTTTTGGTTCGTGTGTGTTGTTACAAATAATTAACGTCAAGTTTTATCTTTATCTGCAAATATTTTGCCGCCAAACATTAGACTCATTTCCTTAGTCCTTTCGGGTTTTGACTATTTGGCTAATCAGTTTGCGCACCTCCCATTTAGCATTTTTCGGCTGTTATGGTCTTCGTTTTTGATATTTTATTTCAAATAAACGTACTTGGAAGCATGTAGTTAGGTTGTGAGTAAATCATTTTGCTTTGTCCCCTTTACTGCATCTGTTGTAACTAGTAAGTATTATGTTTGCGTACTAATCTTTTTCCTTTGGTAATAAAGTGTGAGTGGGACTTTGCAGTGCTGACAGCGCCCGCAGGAATGTCAAATCGATGTCCGTTATTTGAGTAGAAGTGTGCCGTGCCCTTCCCGCGATGGATGAACCCTTTCTGTCTAAGCCAACGGAGACTATTACTTCCCTGGAGGTGGAGAGTACGGCCGATACAGACACTCAGTCGTCTAGTCCAAGGTGAGTCAAATACAGCCACATTCATACGTGGAACCTGTTTGGTTCTTATTACCAAAGATTGTTAGATGAAAAGTAGGTTCTTTTAAATAAATTTGGAATCTAGCACATTGTGTTGTGAATGTTCAGTCGGAACTAACTCAACTCTTATCCGTTTTATCATTCCTCCTTTGTCTCCAATCTGTAATAGCTTGAGGTTACCACACTAGAGGATTCTCTTATTGCCTGCTGCAGTTCGTTACTTGCCGCATTCTTCGGGTCTTGAGAATCCTTGTCTGCGACTAGGTGGCGTGCCTACTGTCTTTTCTCTTTTAGAGGTGGCACAGCCGTTAAAGGCTGGTTCCAGGGTCATGCATTTATCAAAAAGAATCTTCACAAACCCGCAACTTGCCATCATTGTTGTGACCTACTTTGGGGCATACTTGGAACCACTGGGATGATATGTGAAAGTGAGCTGTTCCCACTCAGCATGACGTAATGTGCTTTCTGTACTTATCGTTTAATTTACCTGAATGCATCGTAGCATTGGCACGTTTCATCTAAGCTCTCGTGATCCTTTTATTTCTCTGTGCAACATTAACTTGTCCATAATTCTTGATTTGTAACGAAATATCAATTTGTTCACTTTACCATGCAATACTTTTCCAGTAAATATACTTAGTTTGAATGATATTCGAGCGAAATTTAAAATCTTGTTTAGTAGAGCCTCAATCCTGACATGTGCTGGTAAGTCCAAGTTGATTCCTAAAAGTCCACTAAAAATAGATGACATTTTAAGCGATCTACTCATGGCATTGCTTTTTCAGCCAAAAACTGCTATTTAAGTTATATTCAAGGATACCAAAAAATTATTTGAATATTTATTGTTAGTATCTATGTATTTTGTGAGATGTCTTTTGAGAAAGCATTACCACTCAAATTTCCAGCAAATTTTCGTGTGCATCTCTATGCCTTAAGGTTAGCGTTGCTTTCTGAACCTCTGTACTTGAAGTTGTTTGCATTGTGCTTTTTCTACCTCCCTTAAAGGCAACAAGATCACATCTTTGGAGATTTTGTCTTCCGCCAACTGGTGAAGTGGGTTAACATGAAGATGTGATATGGTTGCCTTTTCTGCGGTCAGGACATTTCTTGTAACCATAGTTTTAACCAAGCCATGACCTTAATATTTCCCATGCACCCACTTGCTCCTCTAGACATTTTCGGCTAAAATTCGTAAACAGGTCAAATTTCAGCTGAAATGTTTCAATGAACATTAAGAATGCGATTTGGCTAGGTGACGAACAACTTTTAATGCTTTTTGCTTTCGAATAATTTAAGTGGATGGTTTAACACTTGTAAGTTTGAGATGACGGTGGCAGTTGATGAAGGAATCAAGGCAAACTTGGTATCTCGATGGAGGCATCATGTTGGGCACTGCATCAACAAGCCCCTCCTCGGCGACATGTCACATCATACTTTGGTGGATCTCATGCATTTGCTTGAATTGTAAACCGCTTGTTTGTCTGGTCTCTTGCTAACTGACACAAAGCTACCGCTGTTTACGGCCATATAGACTGGTCTGAAACACTGGAATGATTTTTTAGTCGAATGTGTACATTTTCAGACCTCATAAACTATTTTTGCCTCAATGACAATTTTGTTTTAACATAAATTGTGAGTGCTAACTACGAGTACATTCGTGTGCTTGATTCACGGTAATATTTGAACACCTACCATCAAAATCTATTTGTTAATTATTTATTGCCTACGCAAGATGCAAATTCACATCCCTTCTGTATGTCCGGATTTATGTTATAGCCGGTTATGTAAATCAAATTAAGGTTTGCTTTATAGTCATGCCTTGATGTGTTCTGCATAAAGTTTTTGTTTAGGAAATTGAGCTGTGCACTCACTTGCGGCTGCTGGAGCTGATCATATGCGACAGTTCGCGTGCATAAAGGTCAACTTCTTTTAATGCTACTCGCACTCAAAACATCCCAACGAATTTGCTAAGGGAGCTAAGTTAATATTGTTTTGACGGTTTCTCGGAGGGTAGCTAATGCAGGAACTTGCTCAGTCTTTTGAAATGAATTTTATTTTTAGCTCTCATAGATAAGTGGAACGCTCTTTTTTTTATTATTTAGTCTGCAATTTCCTTGCGCACGAGAAATGCATCCGTCAAGTCGTCTCTCCTTGCACCTGCATAATCCCATTTCTGATTCAGGTATGCTTCACCACTTTGTCATCGCAGTCCATAGTTTCAAGGTTTATCATTTCATCCCACTGGTGCTCTGGACTGTCCCAACTGTAGGTGAAGTGATCCTGTTTCAGATGAATAGTAAATGGCATGGGTCGAAGCTTCCTAACAAATTTTTAGTGAGGCTAATACACTAAGTAGCCCTTTGGATCGTAAGGGCCAATAACTCTCCGTCACTGCTACAGTTAGGTTTTAAGTTTCATATGAATGGGAAGGGTCTATTCTGTGTCTGTGTGGGTGTTTAAACATGCGTTGACGATTCTGTGGCTTCGTAACTATATTTACTTGGACTCCTCTGAATAGCATTTGAGGAGGTTTTACCAAATCTGCCTTGAAACTAATCCGCAGGCTGCTAAAAAGATGATGGATGTTTAAATTTTTAAAACCTCGATAAGGTGTAACTTGTGAAATAGAGGGCGGTCTTACCAAGCTCTGCGATTCACCATTCACTCGACTTGCGTTTATTTACCGCTCCATGAGGTAGTCCGTTTAACGTTGAGGAAACTGTGATGCAAGGCTAAATTGAGAGGTGAACTATATTTTCCTCAAACTTGGTTTCATAAGCACTTTGATATTGTAGCTTTTAAAATTGCGATTAAGGAGAATTCAGGCCTGATATCGAGCACGTTAGTGTTCCTAACCCACTAATTTTATTCATTATTGCTTGTTTTTAATTACTTACAGGATCCCATGGCTCATTGCTGGTCAGATGTTGGTCATTTTAAACGGAAATTCTGCAACGTCTGTCGGAAACGCTTGGATGACTTACTGTCTGTCAGATGCGAGAGTAAGTGCCACAGTTCATTGCTCTTCTACGTTCCTTTCTAGCGCGTCCTTACTTCTCGGTATTAGACCCATCCGTTAAGTCTCACGATTAATTCCTCACTTTCAGTAATCAGC